TGGTCACTCCACCACAGTGTTTGTGGTGCAGAGGTAGTGAGGAGGTAGGTGCAGCTCTCTCTAGCAGTTATGAAGCATCATAAAACTATTCCTCTCAGTGGGACCCCTGACAAACCTCATGGAAGGTGTGATAGCAACGAAACAGCCCGACTGGGGACTTGTGATAGGATCCCCAAGGAAAGACCCAGCCCTGTCTCACTGATCTTCATCTCATGGCAGTTTTATGAAGGGTCTTTCACTCAGTACAATACTGAGGTAGATGGAGAAAGCCCCACACATTTAAGCTGTGAGCTCCTTCAAGGAGAAAAGGTGCTCGGCCTGTTAAGAGACAGCATCTAGCAGCAGAGCAGGCGCTGCAGGCACCAACACGTCGCTTCACAGGGTGCTGTGGCTCCCGATGTGGTCGTGCCTTCCTGCCCTCACGAGTATGGATAACCAGGATCATTAGGTCTCTAGTTCACGCTCGCAGCCATGTAAAAACTAACATCAGGAGGAGAGACATCAAAATTTATTTTTTTGTCATGACCCATTCTTTAGAGCAATAACTTAGCACAATGACAAGAAAATGTTGCTAAAGTAGCTAGCATTGTGAATGCAGAGAACAGCATGTTTGCTTCAGCAGGCTGCAAGCCAGGGCGTAGCTGCCTGCTCGGGAGAGCCCATGACTCCCACCTTGCTGCCACTTCCATGCCACAGTCACCCTCTTGTTTCCCTTTCGGAGAAGCTGACACTACAACCCAGATCACCAAAATAACCCATTATTTTTCTTTTTTTAATGTTACCCTTATGAGAGGTCGTCACCTTCTCTCCTACCCACAGAAAGAAGTAATTGAAGCGCCTGGGAACTCCCAGATAAAAGGACTGAGCAGTATCGAGAGCAAAGTTCGATCCGTGGCTGCAAATGGCTGTAAGGGCCAGCTCATTTTGCAATTCATCACAGGCTCTTCTGTATCCTCCACCCGCTGCAAGAAGCCGCACTGTGGTTACGAGGTACAAAGCTAGTGAAACTCCCCGTGTTACAGGAGGGACGCGGGAGGAAGAGCCCCATTTACACATAAAGAGCTGCTTGCTGTGTTCACACCATCCCACAGAACGCCGTGATATAAAAGTGGCATTTTGCTTCACAACATGGACATTTTCCCAAAAGCTGCTCTCCCAGCAGCACCTTGAAAGGTGCAATTACGGCCCAAGGAAACAGGCCTTCATTCTTAGCGGGCCCAGGAGTTTACAGTACGGCTTCCCGGGTACGTCTGCATGTGTATCTACTTGTGCCCATAAACATTTTTTGGCGTGCAAAAATGAGCTTGCAAATTGTGGAGACCAACCAAAAAGCCAGGTGAGACTGGCCTGAGAAATGAGCTCTCCTTAGGCTGTTTATGTAGGCTTGTTGCCATTCTTTTTTTAAACATATTTAAGTCAGGCTAAACCAGTACAATAGGATTGCCTCCCTTTAGGAATAGAGTCAAATTTGGCATCCTGTGTCATCCCGCCACACTCACTGCAGTGCCACGGGAGCTCTCTGGTCCTGTCAGCCACAGAGGGCTGTGAAGAAGTTTCCAGGGGAAAGCCAGGGAGAAAATGAGCAACATTTACACAGCATTAGAAATAAGTCATAACATTTTGACTTCAACCTTTTAGCAAGCAACATTTACACAAAAGGCAAATCTACTTTGAAAAATACTTTGATTTCAGGCAAAGCTCGGAAAGAGAAAGGGGAATCTACCAAAGAAAATCTGCTGCTTCTCAGCCAGGCTGCTTGTTTTTCTCCTTCGTAAGGAATTATGTGACAAGAGAATCATACAGAAAGGCTTAGTCTGAATATGACGTGCGGCGGTGTTGGGCTAAATTCAACACTATTAAGGCTCATCAGCTTGCCTCTGCTCACAGAAATGTCTCTTATCTCCTGGTAGCCTTCCATCATTTGCATTGGCCGTGCTTGTAGCTGAATCAGTCATGAAGACAAACATCTTTGAAAGAACATACTGTGGTTTCCTTTATTATTCACTTATTTCTTCACCAAGTGCTCTTTTAAAATCTCTCTTCATATAGAAGCAGTTACAACTACTTTTATTTCACATGTCTGGATTTCTAGTGTAAGTTATCTCAGTTAGACAGACTGGATTACATAGCACATATGACATTTCTTAGCAACTGTTCTTCTCTGAGAAGGTGTTTCAAATGAATTCATAAGAAGGTTTACAACATTTTCCTGTAATAATTAAAGCCACTATAGAATTACATATTTTACCTTCTTTCTTCTGCTCCTGGTTCTCCAGCAACCCTCTCTGAATTCTATCTCACGGTGCCCAGACACCAAGTTTTGCTTGTTTTTTGTTTTTTGTTTTTTTTCCTAAAATTGCTCCGATTCTTTTATAGCGATCAGTAACTGAAGTGATTTCATGCTATACAGAAAGCTTGCCCCTTTATTTTTCAATCACTCTTCCTGGGCACTAGTGAAGGTATTGATGCATCAGAAATCTTCACTATCTTCTATATTGCATTCGAGAACTTGAAACTTACACAAACGTAGTGTAAGGCCAATATTAGATTTATCTTAAAAGCAAACAGAAACGCCATGGGCACCTAAGTGAGGAGCAGATTTACAGTGATGCACTGGTATCATATAATAATGTATTATTGGTTATACGGGTCAGGCTTTGTCCACTCCCAGGAATAGCTCTAGTGAAGATGCATGTAGCCTCCTGTAAACTAACTACATCCTCAATATAGGCAACACAGTTTGCCCCTTGGCACTACGTCTATCCACGCATCCTAAAGGCTGCAAGGTCCAAGCAAGAGGCTTGGTGCAGAATAGAGAAATGGATCACGAGAATAAGACATCAATTATTTAACTGTGATGTGGATTTTCATTAGCCAGCTGCAAGCCAATTTAAAAGTTTTTTGGGGAAAATAAAAAGGAAGAAAATGTATAGAAGCTGAGAAAGGATGTTTTAAAATGTGTTTATGTAAGAGGTCCTCAGCATATGAGCTTCTTTTATCAGCACACCTACTCCTGTCTTTCTGTGACACTGGGCTTGGACAGCTGCTCTTGCTTGTGCTGCACTCCTAATTCCTTGATCGTAAAACTAAAACAGTTTAAAATACAATCACATCAGCAGAACAGTGAATTCATCATTATAATATATTTTGAAGCTAAAATTATAGTTGCAATAATTGCAATATATAATTTCTAAGGTCACTCAGGTGAATGTAGCAAATTTTACATGCAGTGAGCAAGCACTGGTAACAAGCATATGATAACAAATAGGCTAGATTGTATCATTTAATTTTAATCATATTTACCAAAAAATGTATTTTTTACTGCTTTACTGTGAAAAGGCACTGAAAAAGGTAAGGTCTGATGGATAATGTGAATAACTTGTAACTAAAGCCCATTAAAGGTGATTTTTAAAGCCCTAATTAAGAATCGCATCCTACTTGTTTTATGCTTTTGGTTTTGCTTTTTTTTAAACATTTCAAATTATTAACTCTTCACACTTCAGTTCATACGCACATGTCATTGCAGGGAAAATAGGGTATTTGCTTCATTGTGTTTACAATTTTAAAGATAAATCTGATTTTAAAGATAAATATCACAGTGGATTCTGTTTGCTGCTTTGGTTTTGTGGGCTTGCTTTATGGAGCACTATGTAAACCAGCCTTAGGAGTGTCCAGGTTTCGGTTTTATTAAGCACTAACCAAAATGCATGCATCTGTCCAACCCTAGAGCACTATAAACACTGTAACGGTGTAAGGCACAAAGACCCTTAACAGCTTTAGGTTCTGTCAAATACGTGCTATTAACCCATGGCTGTCTGAGTCAAAATTTCATGGGGACCTCCAAGAGCAGATGCTCCATCTGGATGCTCCAAGAGCAAATGCTCCATCTGAAACTGGGATGTTATGTGAAGGAATTGGAGGCTTCAATGGGGCTACTTCAGCCATGTGAACCACATTGGATTGAGTGTTTGCAACCTGCTGTGCGATAGCACTGACCGCAATAATCTCAGTGCGCAACAGGGCTCAGGTCCACAAGTTATCAAGGTCCTGTGGGAGGTTATTGATACCAGTTAGAGATGAAGTAGAGAGCATGGGGGATAGGTAACTGGCAGCACGGTACATGGCTGAACAGAGCCACTACAGGCAGGAGAGAAAACGGTGACAGGTCAACCTGGCTGCTACCAACAGCCTCCTGCGGCCATTCCCCAAAGCCTGTGAGCGCTCTGCCCTTCTTAATGCTCTAACCGGGATTAAAATCCTGCTCCAGGAAGACTGAGGACAGTCTTCACAAAACATCATCGCTGTTTGTGCTTGTTGGGCAAGATACTCAGGCAGGGACACCCTAGACCACTGGCCTTCAGGCTCCTTGGGCGCTGCTCTGCTGGCAGAGCCCTCAGGGCACTTGGGGTCCAGCACATCTTTCTGCTGCACCCCTAAGGGGAAGTGATCTCAAGACACCCTCTGACCACCTGTGGTAAATGGTGTAACTTTTATTTCCTGCTCTCCAAGTCAGGAGAACCATGAGGGGACTGACAGCCTTAAGAAAAACGAGAAAACGAAAAAAAAATAAAAGCCACTAGCAGAGCCTTCCCCTCATTTTTTC